GGTTGATATTCAAACTACAGTGACTCGTTTGACACTGATAGTTAGAACAACAAGAAATCGAGTGCTTAGGGTTTGGGGATGGTGGTGTGGGCAGTCTAGGGTTTCAAGGTGCTGGGAGGGTAGGGGATGGTTCTGCAAGTGTGCGGAAAGGTGTTGAGAGGGTAAGGGAAGTTTGTGCAAGAGTGAGGAAGGGGCTAGGTCACAGTAGTGGAGGTTAGGGAGGGGACTACAACAAGAGAAGATGAGGGCTAGGAAGGGCCCGCAACAAGAAGAGAAGAGGGATGTGTCGGTGGTTGGTGGTTAGGGTTAGAGTTTGGGGGGGTGAATCTGCACTGTGCTCTGCTGGTGGTCAGGTGTAGTTGGTGGCTGTTTTTCTGTTTTCTTTTCTGTTTCTTCGGTTGGTTGCGCACCAACTCTGGGGTGCTAACAAATGATAGGATGGGCTTTTTTGTGCAAACCTCGTTGGGACGATTCAGCCCATTGTGATGTTTTTGTACTCGCCTTTCTTTATTGATGTATTTTGTCTTGTACTTTATATTTTAGTTTACATTAATAAAGCTTCTTTGTTTTGCCGATAAAAAAAAAAGGGGTTAGAGTTTGAAGATGGAGGTATTTTTAATATGATGAGTTGTGTACTAAACAAGCCATCAAGTTTCAAAATCATTTAATATATGCATTGAGAGAAGAGTGCATAGAGTTTTTGATGTGTGTAAATAGAACCTCCCTAAACCTTATTACCATTTTTACTATGATAGGGGGACCAATTTTAAGCATGTTTACTTTTTTGCCTATTTATGTGGAATTAATGTATGAGCTAATGATGGGTTGCAATTGACAAGGGCTTTAACAGTGAGTTTGGTCTTTGCTTCTCTCACATTGGGTTTCAAGTCAATCACAAGAAAGCTAGATATATCTCTTCAATCACAAGAAAGGAGGACTGAAGCGAACTTCACTATTGAATAAATGAGAAAAATGATAGCTGACAGGCAGAGAGGACAAAGATAGACATGCAAAGCCAACATGACTTAGCTAACAAACCAAGTCCAAACACTCATCATACAAGAATTTCTTTCGTAAGATCTAAATTATACGAGTTCACCCAAAGAATTACCAAACAAGAATTTCTTTCGGAAGGCACGAAGATCTCAATACATGTGGCAGGGTCAAAAAAATACATACGAGCGTATTTAGAAGCTCTACTTAGAGCTTGTGTATTTTGGTCTTTTGTAGGTGGTATTATTTTTTTTTTTTATTTTACAAGAGAAGGGTATCTGAGACTCGATCCAAGTTTGGCTTGACCTCTTGGGTCTGATGTTTTTTCACTGAACCACTAATTTTTTTAAGTTATGAGTGAGTGGGCTGGGTGTTCAAACTTAGAGTGGAATAGCTTTGGGTGTTCAATATTTGGAGCAGGATGTGCTGGGTGCTCAAATTTAGAGTGGAGTGGGCTGTTTAACATATATATTACATTTATTTTTATAAATAAATAAACAAACAAACAAACAAATAAAAACAAAACAAAACAAAACTGAAGCAACAACAACAGCTAGTCAAGTGAATTGTAAGTTTCTGTATTTTGTGATTTGTTTGTCCTCTTGTACACTTTGCATTTCATTAATCTTATAGTTCTTCCTTTTTTGCAAAAAGAGGGAAAAAAACATTTACAAAGAATTAAATACATTCTGCAACAACTTTGTTAGCTCACAAGTTTAAGCTAGTTAACTTGAAGGGAAAATTAGTGAAACATCCCTTTCTAAGTTTGAGTAATAGAAGAGGTCCAATATGTTTTTTGTTTTTTTTATTAGCTAAAGTCCCTCGATAAAATTTTTCTATGATCATGCAAGAGAAATGATAGAAAAATTTTGAAATTTCTCTGTAATCATATCAGAGTTTTTTTTGAAATTTCTCGAAGTTGGGAAGAAATTTCTGTGTGAAATTTTCTTTGTGAAAATGTTGAGAGATCCCAACTAGTATGAACAAAATTATATGTCATTTATCTTATAAAATCTTAATATCAAGAATCTTAAAAAAAATTCCCCTTAACTTGAAATATATATATATATTGGGAGGTAAAGTACAGTGACACCCCTTGAAATTTGGGTTTAATACAAATTCTCTCCTTACATTCTAGAAATTATATCCCCTTTGCAGAGTTTAATAGTCACATAACGTTACACATTGCCCCCTCCATTAGTTTACTGTGAGTAAAGTTATTTGATAAATGTGTAATTATTCTAATATTTTTAGTTGTTATTAAACTTCATTATAGTAAATCTTTTCATTTATATTTTAATAGTGATTTAATAAATTAATTTTGTTTTTGTAAGAAAATCACGCAATTAGAAGGAAGAATGGGCCAAGAATGAGAATAAATAAAGTTTTCAATATTGAATGGTGGGCCTTGGCTATGCTGTAATTCTCCAAACCCAGCAAAGACTTATATTTATAGTTTTCTATCTCTATTAGGTTAGGTTTTTATCGTTTATTTTATTATACATATATATAGGGGTGTACAAATAGTCTGTAATATGTGAGCGGCCTGAAACCCGTCTGCAGTTCAAGGTGGGCTTAGCTCGATTAGGCCTGAGCCTGAGCCCAGCCCGGGATCCTGGACCTAGACCGTCATTTTGAAGCTTAGTCTGACACAACCCATGAACTCGGCCTGCCTAGCCCCACCTATCGACCTACTCAAAGCCCACTCAAAGTTCAGCCCACCCGAGGCCCAGTGTCATTTTTTTTAAAAATAAAATAAAATTTTGATAAAAAAAATTAAAAAAATATTCATGCGCGGCCAAGTCCGAGCGCAGGCCTAGGCTCGCCGACTTGACCCGAGGCCTGAATACCCCTTGGTCCTAGGCCTAGTTTTCTGCTTGTGAATTGGCCCGGCCCAAATTTCAGTAGGCGCCCGCATGACATGACATGGGCCAAGCTAGACCAAATTTACACCCCTAAATATATATAAACTCTATTGTGGAAGGCATCATTCATTTAGTTGTTTCTTAATACAGAATTGTTTTTTCTTTTATGGAGTTCTAGTTTTCTTTGCTAAGGTTAGGAGTGAAACCCCAATGGATTGTTTGTAAATATTTTATGATTCAATCATAGTTTTCATTGTTATTGATGGGTTTAAATATTTTTTGGTTAAGTTTTTATTTTGTATAATTGTTTGTTTTATCGTACACTTTGGGCATGGTAAAAGCTTAGAATTTCCTACTAATCAAATAATTAGATTTTTATTGAGTAATCAATCAATCAAAATAATCAATCCTTTCGATATATTATTTATTCAAAATAACTGTTTTATCTTTTGATTGGAAGCATCCTTTCTCTAATTTTTAGTTGAGTTATACAAATTGAATCAGAAATATTTTATAAATAAAATATTGGTAGTGAATCCTTAATGCCTTAGTACTTTTATATTATTGTTACTTCAAATTATTTTTAATCAATTACTTTCTCAAAATCATTCAAATCTTTTTCAATCACTTGGTTTTTTGTTCGAATATACCAATCCCAGTGAATATGACCTCAGACTCACTCAGACTTTATAGTTCGAGACAATCTGCACTTGGGTATTAACATTTAAAGTTGTAGCATTAACAGATTGGGATAATATCAGCAAAAGTATTTTACAAAATGCCAATTTTACCCTTAGATTCACAGACCCAATCTTTTCATCTTCCATCTTTTTCATCATTTTCACCTCTATGCATATGGATCCAAACCCCACCATTTTTCAAGAATCACCATTACAACTCACAAGAATCATCATTGCAGCACCACCAATAATCAAACAAGCATTTCCATCACAACCCCAATAATGGAATAATAAAATCAATTCTTAGAAGCAATTAATCAAACATGTATTATGCATACACCTGCTACTACCCCACAAATTCAATAATCAAACTATTCACTTGCTTTTTGAAGAGCCTATTATCAAGTTGGTCTCCATCGTCAAACTATCAAAAGCCGCAAGTCTCAATTTCCATATTTTCCCAGTTTGGTAAGTAATGTTGGATTGTGTAGAGTTTCTTCTCTGCAATGATGAAAATGGTGAAGACTTTGGATCCCTGGTTTTGATCCGTGGAGATCATCTCTGGTTGCCTCCAAGTCAGAGTGTCAAGTATTAATTATATTTTATTTAATTTTAAACTTAGATTTTGTTGATCATGTTCGTTTATGATAGTGTATATGAGGGGGAAGATGCTGATGGTGTAGGTGGTGGGATGAGGGTAGAAGGGGGAAAGTGGCAGTGATTCATGATTTGCCCTTTTTTTTTTCTCAAACCAGGAATTTGTCAGCCATTGTAGATTTGAGACTAGAGATTTGGATGTTGATGATTTTGATGGATTTGGTGGAGACGAGCATGGTAGCATTATTGGGATTTGGGTGTTGATTTGGTGGAAGTGATACAGATAGGGCAGAGGTGTGAACTTCTCAAAATCAACTGGTGGTGAGAGTTATAGTGTAAGAGGGAATCTGTAGTAGGGGGAGGTGTTGAGACTAATTCTGTAATTTTGTTTTAAATTATAAGGGTAACAAGGTAATTTTACATTTTCTGTTAACTTAGTTAAAAGGCAAATTCTAACAGGGAGTGCAATGTAATTTATGAAAGTTGGAGGAAGAATCTGTATTAAACTCAAATTCCAGAGGGTGTCAGTGTAATTTACCCTATTTTTTTTAAAATTTTTGGTGGTTGTGTTCTTCTAAACTTGTGTTGCTTGGAGGTGTTCACTGTTGCTTTGATGGGTTATGCTAAATATTTGTGTTCAACAGACCATTTGAACAAATACAACTGACAAAGCATCACAAAATATCCAAGTTCAGAAAAATAAAAAGCTCATATGCAGTTGTCATCAACAAAGCTCTTTTAACTAGGTTGTGTTTGAATCAATGATTTGAGTACAATTTGTAGGGTGAAAAGAAAAATGAAGTAAAAAATGAATGAAATATAATCTAATTTTTTTACACTCATCTCTTTTCATTTCATTTCCCTCAACAAATTCTTAGTCAAATTCTTAATCTAAACAAAGTCTTACATAATCTCCCACATTTAAATGATTTCACGTCACAATACATTTTGTGGGTGCATGAAGCTCTCATGAAAGCGGGATTTGGAGAGGATAAGATGTATACAGTGGAACTAGGCAACCCATGTCAACAAGCAATTATCTAAGCAAAATTATTGAAATGTATTGAAACTGGAGACTTTCTGTACATATGCAATTTAAATGGGAAAAGAATGTTGGATTTATTCTTCCTTCAGTTGTTCAACATTATTCTGAGGTGAATGGTGGATAGAATCAAGACTGGAAGAAAGTAAGCCATTAAAACATGACCCTGTTAGACATAAAAAAAAATATATGGAACAGTAACAAATGATATGCATATATATATTGATTACAAGTGCTGCTAAATACCTCCACCTTTTCTCTTTGGATTCCCCACTTCTTTAGACTCCCACCCACCTAAGTTACTCCCCATTTTTTCTTTGAACACCCACCTTAATCTTAACTATATCCCTACTTCTTCTGGCATGGAGAGGCTGGGGAGGGGCAGGGGTGATGGAGAGGGGCAGATGAGGGTAGTTAGGGGCTGGGGAGGGTGATGATAGGGGAAGGTAGCTCTGGCGGCAAGCTGGGGTGGGGTGGGGGGTTAAGGTTAGGGTTTGGGTTAGAATAGGTTAGGGATGGGGATAAAATTGGAATTTCATGTTATGGTAAAATTATGGATAAAAAAATATGAAAGGGTGAGGATCCATAGAAAAAAAATTGGGTGCTAGAACCACCGCATGCTCATTGCTCAAATTAGACAGCTACACTACAAAAAGCAAATGACGTACCTGCAGTTCTGAGGAACCCTCCAGAATGATAAGGATGATCTCTTCAAGCTTGGTGGCAAAGACATATATTGTTTCCAATCCTCGAGCATGACTCTAAGATCATGAAGCTTGTTGACCAGACCAAAACAACAATTTGCATGCATTGTGCAAACTCGATTCAAATCTTTGCTTGGTTCACAAAATCCGCCAAAGTTGGCAGTATTCAAGAATCTCATCTTCAGATCAATATCTAAGACAAAAGCATCAAATTTGATAATATTAAGGACATCCTGGTCATGGGATTCTGGATATACTTCTCTTGAGGAGTACCAGAACTTGTAAAACTCTATTGACCGGTTATTGGACCTGACAAAGTTAAATCCTCCATTTGGCCTGTTCTCCAGATCGTAAGAGCTTCCCATGAAATGATCGCATGCAATTTGAAAATCTGCATCCAAATAAAACCGGGGAAATGGGTCCCTAAACCACATGATATCAGCATCCTGGGGGAGGAAAACCAACCAAAAGATGTTGAAAATATGAAGAAAAATTTTCAAAATGGCTGACTTGATTGGATAAAGATAATGTTAAGCATGGAAAGTCAACATGCTAAAGCTTACATACGTTGGATATGAAAATGAATTTGTTTGCACAGTGACAGTGTGTTCGAACAATACACACTATCTAATTGGTCCAAAACTATAAGTTCCATATTTAAAGTGTATTGACCCCACCTAAACTTGTGGGCTCCACAATTTTGGACCAATCAAAATGCATGTTTTGTTCACACACCTTGTCAGTGGATACTAATGCTGCATCAGTAAATACCAATCCTTCCAAGAATGTCTTATGACACAAAATAAGCACAGATGAGGTTACAGACAGCGAGTCAAAAATCACCAAATGACAATGGAAAGTTACTGAACGCCAGGTACCTTTAACTGACAAAATAAAAATAAAAATAAAAATAAATTAAAAGAAAAAGAGAGAATCATTTTGCCCCCCTGATTGGCCATAACTGGTTGTACTCTAGGAGCTATTGCCTATCTATCGAGCATTCTTTCTACAACTTCTAGCATTGTGAAGCCCCCCTTGAAGGGAGACAGAGGTTAGTGGGAAATGACAGATAAGGCAACGAAAACCAAAACAATTGAACCACAGAAACTCAGAATGAAGCAGCTTATGTTAACTATGATGAAAATGTGGAAGTGCCAAGCATTAATGATTTACATACAAATTAACCTTTTCAACATTTCTAAAAGCAATATCCTATGTGGCTACACTACAACAGCTACAATATCAAAAAGGTGGGACCAAGAAGCACATTAATGATAAACCTATGATGCAGATCACCATTCAGGCTACTTTAAAGACCATTTGCACAGCTGAAAGTGTGAAGCATTGAATTAATTTGAGACAATCAAATGCCACATATCACATAGGCAAATGATAGTCTGCAACAACTCTACTTTCTATGAAATGACAATTGAGCATCATTTTGTGTTACAGAACAATGACTTTAGGCATAGATTTTATTCTGGATATCATTAAGAACATGCCGGTTTTTGACAGAAAACATTGCATGAAAGGAACAGTGATCAGAGCAACAGCGTAAAGAAGAAAAAAATTTAATAAATGAGCAAGCTTTTCATTAGGTCCTCTGTTTCTCTTAGTTAAGGTATATCAGACAGGTTCATCCACAAAAGAAGCCTATAAAGCTTAATGGTGTAAAAGGACCAGGGCAAGCTACTGCTTAGTAATCACTTATTGGACAACACATTTCTTGTAGGAACCAGTCGAACAATGTCCAAAATTGCTTGTTATTAACATAATGAAGCTGAAAATTTAACTCCATGTGATGGAGAGCAAAGAGAAATTTGAACATATTTTAGGCGCAAGAAGCATCAGCTGAATAGAGTCTCTTTAGGAATTTCAATATATTTAGGATTCTACTTCTTTTATTTTACTTTTTCATTTCTTTGGACATGCCTATATCTGGTTTGTGTATGATCGTTAACAGATATTTTTGGCATAATTGAAATTTGAAAGCATTTGATAATACCTTTGTTTCCCCTTCACTCTATCTATCTGCAAGCATAACCATGACCTTGACCATCTGTGGTTTTAATGGATAGCCATACTGCCTTAGAACAAGAAGTAAAATACTAAAATGTAATAAAATTCCTATGTGATTCCAAAATAGACTCAATTGGACTGACCACTCTTGTCCCTAAAACACATCCAAATTCATCCTCTTTGATCCCCATCAACATGCCAACTATTTCACCTAAAAAAATAAAACACACACAGAATACTCACGTAGTTATTAGTCAAATTATAACTGATCACTATAGTATACAGAAAAATCAACATAAGCAATGAACTTTAGCTTTGAAGTGTCCCTGACTCAAATTTTTCCTTTGCTTCCTTTCATTGTTATTCATCAAACAATTCTTCCCATTTCTCCACACTACTCCATAAATTCATTTTTGATTATTTACTTTTACTTTCTAATCTCATATCCTCCTTTTTTTGCATTTCTTTTTCCAAGTAAAATATAAAAAATGACTCGAGGTGTCTTTAAATAATAGTGAGTCCATATATAATGTGTATCAATCCAACAGCAGCATAAAATTTATGTGAATCATTTTCCGTATAAACTCACAAATGACAGCAAAAAGAATCATAACCAAACATCATAAATATGATCCGAGATGATTAAGCTTCCATGCACAAGAAATTACCACATACAACTTTGTTACGCTTCTTCTTAACAAAGCAAAATGTGGTGCAGAGGTGATTTGGCACAAGAAATAAAACAAAACATCAAAAAATTCACAGAGAAGACTACCATATGTATGTTTCCTTAATGCACCAATCAGGGTTAATAAAATATTACTTCTTCAAATGTTGATCAATTCTCTTCTGACAATAATATGAACTGATGCTGGTCAACTTAGAAGTGATCTAAATATAACAGGAACATAAGTGTAGAAAAGCACAGCTTCTCATACAAAAATTGAACAAAGAGGAAATGGAAAAATAAGAACCTCCAACTTGTTTTCTCAAGCTGAAGAAGATAAATAAGTGGTTTTTTTTTTTTTTTTTGAACTGATAAATAAGTGTTTGAACCAGAGAGAGAGAGAGAGTACCGTGAAAACAAAGTTGTATCCCATTTCAAGAACAGACCGCAGGAAATCAATCCTTCTCCACATCATCCTCAAGTACTCAGGGGTCATAAAATATGCCTCCCGAGAGAAGTCGATCCCTTCAGTGATTAGAGAAAAGCAATGGTCGTGTACAGCCACACAACGAGAAAATGCTCTCTCATCCAAGGTAATAATCACTAAATGATTCAGAAGTCTACGGGTGCCATCTCCAATTCTAAAGCTCTCAAGAAAGAGATCTAAGATTGAATTTGGAGCTGCCCAAGCTTCATTTAAAGTTGTTAAAATAACTGTTCCATCTCTCATGGCAGCATTCTTTAACACTAAGCACATTAATGATTGTACTCATCACTACCCTACGATTGTTAAGAAAATTCAATGCAAAAGGAGAAGTCATGCAAAACATTATGCAACACTAAATCAAACATATAAAAGTATAAAATCATGATATAAAGAGAATAATGTACTACCTAATATTATATGATTTATCACCAGGTCTACACACATGATAACTACTACATTTCATTAGAATGACAAGGAGAAAACCACACAAGCATTGTTGATCGCAGTCTCTATACAAAAGGGTATGCTAATTGTTCAAACTAACACAAAAATTGTCTAACAAGTAATATATACATTGATCTGAAGGAATAAATGTATTAGACTTAAAAACATAAACAAATAAATTTAAAAAATAATAATTATCCAGTTCGGATCATTCTCATAATTCCACATAAAGAATAAGAGCATTACCAATCCACTACCACGTTTGTGGAACTTAACGATGTTATGATCTAAAAAATCTCATAGAAATTGTTAACAGACACAAATTCAAGATGCTACAGTCACTTAAAAGAAGAAAAAGAACAAGAAAGACAAAAACAGTTCAGTGCTAGAAATCTTAAGAATCTAAACAAAGTAGGTAGAGAGCAGGGGGAAAAAAAAAGAGGAGGGAAAATTGTAAGAAACTACTAGAAGACTAACTTTATTTCAAAAATCAGCTCAAAATCTGATTGAGTACTATATTTCAAAATAATGTATCATCCAACTAGTACTGATAAAACAAGAACATTTTATCTGTGTTACATAGACTCATCTGTGTATCCAAGTCTCAAATTTCATCTAATTCTCATGTCCAAGACAACACAGCTGGATTTCATATTTCTTAAATACTTCTTTTACTTTCTCAATGGTAAATTCACATTTACAAACTAAAATTAATCATTTTATGTATTAAATGCATGGTTATATAGTAATCAAGAGTACTTGCACATACTTGTTGAGTGCTTGTCCAACTAGGCATAACACATATCTCACACTTAAAAGTCAAGTATCCAACATGTTCACAAATTTTCAAGTCCATGTTACCAAGATTTTAATGTAATGGAACAATGAGATTGGACAAATATTAGTAATAGTAGGTACATGAGTCCAGCCCCTACATGTGTCAGTGTCACATCATCCTCACAACCTCTGGTGACTTCTCCTACAAGCTTCATTTACCACATGTTGAACACACAAGGTAACATATGCACCAATTACATCATCGTCATGTTCACACTTGCCAAGGCAGCCTGTGGTTGGGCATATTGCCACATTGAGCTCATTCGGTTGCTTGGCTCACCAATAGCCCCTCCAAATGAGGCCCTCAATTCTGAAGTATGAAGACAGGCCCTTTGTGTTACCTAGGCTGAGAGTAGTTCCTAGAAACCTCACTCGGGACCACCAGAGGACTTGTGGACTAGAAGCTAGAGTTCAAGAGTTGTTTAGGCACTCACCATCCACTCCTCTCAAGGCGAAGCATGCTTGGACCAGTATTAGAGAGAGAAGCGGCCTTAACCAAGACAGATAATTCCTTGCTGGGCATACCACACCTACCTTTGAGTTATTTTGACGTACCTAGAAAAGAATTTATCCTACTGTTTATCCTCGTATGACACTACCCCAACCAATTTTCCCTTCATTTTTCCTAGCCAAGGGGACTTGGGACTTAGAAGGTGATGTTAACACTATGTGGAACTCGATGGCCAATTGTATGAGGAGAATCTCAAGGGAAGTGCTTGGAGAGTCGAAAGGAACGGGATCTAGCTCTAGGGAAACTTGGTGGTGGAGGGAAGAGGTTCAAGCGGTAGTTAAGGCAAAAAAAGAGTGCTTTAAAAAGTGGCAGAATGATAGAACTGAGGAAAACCTTAAGAGCTATAGATTGGCTAATAAGGAGGTCAAGAAAGTAGTGAGAGAGACCAAGTTGAAAGTATATAATGACCTATACACTAGACTAGATAGTAAGGAGGGAGAGAATAGGGTATACAAACTTGCTAAGATACGAGAGAGGAAAA